GAAAAGCCCCGGTGTTGATCTGATAGCTCAGCCTTCAAACAGGTCGTGGCCCGGCTGACCTGTTGGTAAAAGCTCTTCTTGGCTCTGCTTTTGCTGCACCACGATCAGAGATGCCCGGGATTTCCCTTTCCTGGCTCCAGTTCTCAAGTTCTTTCCCAGATCTTTAATGCAGCGGTTTTTGATCACCAGCTCCATGGGGTATCACACATTTAATTTCTTCTTTTAAACACTGAGCTAGCGCTTGGCTATAAAAATAAGCCTCTGTTGTTCCTTCAACCCTTTCCCCCAAGTAAAGGGCAGATGAAAGCTTTCTTTCCTTTTCAAAGTGAGGGCTTTGGATCCTGACAGAGGAGAGATCTCACCATTAAACACGGGCACAGAGACATGAAACACGCACTCCCTTCTCCCACCTCTTCACAGCACATCGCTGTCTCTGGAAGATCCCAGAACCCTGCCTGATCTGCCTGCTGCTGCACAGTGCCGATACCCTACAGCCCTCTCATCCTTCCTCCACAAGCCAGGGGGATGTTTTCCCAGTCTTAATTCAAGCCAGCAGCTGATGAGTAGCAGAAGGTAGCCGGGATGGGAGCACTTGATGTGCCCACCTTGACTGCTTGAGATTAGAGACAAAGTTTTCTTAATAGTTTTGATAAGAGCTCAGCTGCTCAGGATAGCCTAAAGACACTCCTAGTGTATTACCAGCCGCGGGTACCTGCTGCATCTCTGAGACCAAAATTATATTTTCCGCTGTTTTTTTGCCTGGAAGGAGCCCATCCCAAGGAGAACACCCAGCTCCTCCACAGCAGAACACAGCCCCCTCTGCGGGCACAACGCAGCAATCCCTCGGCACAAAACCCACCAACACTTATCCATCACGGTGAGAACTTCACCACTAAGCTCTCTCTGCAGAGCTACACAGGCTGCTGACTTACCTAATGCCACCTAAAGAAACCTTTTTGAAGGTAGGGTTCAGAAGACTTCCACCAGAGGAGCAGAGCACACCCTGCCAGGCAGCCTTTCACTAGTAGAAATACACCTGGCTCTACTGCTTTCGCCAGCACATGGAAATTGGTCACACTGCAGTTTTTGCCCTACCCCTCAGTCCTTCCCTCACCAAACAAGCCACAGCTGTGCAGGCAAGACTTTTAGGCATCAACTACACTTAATGAACCAAGAGAGCGCACGGTGTGTATGAAGGGAGGGAGTGGAAGCCTGAAACTGCACTACTCCAGAAAGCAGAACAGCAATAACTCCAGTCAAAACATGGCCAAAACACTAAGGCTTCTGGCTGATGGGAAGTGTCACAGGATCTCTGAGTCTCCAGCATGGAAGTCTCTCTGTCTTGTTATTTAAAAATAAGAACAGCAGTCCCAGCTGCACAGCATCCCTCATTGCCACTACTGAATTGCTGTCTGACTATTAAACCTCCAAGGCCATCCTCAGCTGCATTTTCCACTTACAGGGAGCCACTTACTGCATCTCCCTCCCCTATCTCTTAAAATCATCTGAAATATATATAACTAAAAAGAAGGAAAAAAAAAAAAAAAAAAGATAAATCCAGTGCAAAGCTGACATGGTGATAATTTTAAAAGCTATGCTGCTCATGTCAAATTATTCAACATCTGTCTTCATGTTCCCACAAAAATTAGCATAGGATGGTGGTTTCTGGTGACACCTATAGTGAAATATTTTGACTTCTACCAGCAAAGTTGCAAACAACCTGTCAAGAGGATAATGTCAGTTTTCTAGTACTGCATATTAAAGTCAATTGAGGGTTTATCTGGTGTGTGAAGCTACTGACCTGACCTAAAAACAAAGGCTCTGGTGTCAGGAGGGTGAGTCTGACACACTACAGCTGGAGGATGCCAAAACATGCCGGAGCACGGGGCTGGCCAAATTTGATGCCTTGGACTTAAAGAGCTGCCAGAGAACCATGCAAATGTTGGAGCAGGGCAGTCTTTAGGCGTAGCCCTCCAGTTACAAAACACCTGTGATGGAAAGGCTACAGTGAGTCACCACAGATTTCAGGGCTGGACAACAAGGAGAAATGGCTGCGCCCACAGGGGAGGATGTGTGTCTGCATATATTTTATACATAAAAGATGCATATACACACTCGTACATAGATGTCTGGAGTACTGCTGTGCTCGTACATTCCCTTTCCCAGGCAGGATCAGCCAAGAAGGGGCTGCCAGGAGCCAGCTCCGTTGCTGCCTCAGCCAGCAATTTTCTCACTCATTTCAGAGGGCACGGGGAGCACTGGGATAACAGCGAGGAAGCTGAGGAGCTCCTTGTCTGGCACCAGGCTCCTGCTGGCAAAACAGCTAGAGAGAGGCAGGGGAGGGGGACAGATCCATGCCACCAAGCTCAAGGTTAACACTAGGGTGTGCCTGCTCCCCCCGAAACTGGCAGCAAAGTGACACGTGTGAGTTGAGACACCCCGCTTGGGCGATGCTGCACTGAAAGCTCCAGGAGGAGAGGCTTTTACTTCACAGGTAAGAGGAGCAGGAAACAAATCTTGTCATGTGGACATGAAATGAAAGAGTGGGAATGTTTATGGCCTAAACCTAGGATATGTTTTACCATGACACTTCCCTGTTGCAGGCACAAGAAAACATTCTCCCGCTAGATTTTCTGCCTGCCTGCAGCGGCACCTCACAGGTGATTCAGTGCGATGGTGTCTCTTTAAAGAAAGGGCTTTATGGGGCCATTTATCCCCAAACTCAGAGGCCAGGACTACTCTGTATGTGCTTCACTCACGCCACTTTTAAGTATCGCACCAGTTTTAAGCACCGCAGCCCATCCAAGCCTCCTGATATCTGTGCCAGGCAGTTTTGCCTGCTGCCCAGCCCAAGCTTTTATTCCCCATCCCTTGCCTTGTTGCAGCCCCTCATCGCACACTGCCATGACCATTCCTGAAAGGCTTCTCAGACGCCTTTTCAGCAGGTGAATTATGAGAGGCAGGGGACAAAACAGCCCGCTCTCTTTTATCCTGCCCCAAAAAAAGGCTGCTGCTGATCATCTGGACTGAATGCCAGACACCCCCGAAATGTTAATTATAGGCTACACATGGAGTAAGCAAAGCAGCAGCCCTGGGCACACCCTGAATCAGAGCTAAGTGTGTTCTGGAGTCTGCAAGGCTGACGAGGAAGCAAGAGGCGTGCTCTTCCCTTTGGAAACCCTCTCTACCCTCCCCTTTCAGTCTAATATGTAGCATTTAAGCCCCGATAACTTGAAACATGGGAGGTCAGGACCCCTTTCCCCCTTACCTCTTTTCTTCTCTCCCTCCAAATTATGACGTTTCCTATAAATTGGTTACTGCTTGCTCCTTATCTTGACCGGCAGCAGTAATGCACCGGGACTGACAGGCGCACACAGAGTTTGGGAAATGGGGCACCACGAGAGGCTAAGCCTGCTGAACTGCCTCCCGTGTCAGGCCAGCTTTGTCTTATTTCAGCAAACAAGGCTGAAAGGATGGGATCAGCTAATGAGAAGAGGGTTTCAGACACTCTTCAGTCATTACAACAAATGCCAATTTATATAACAAGCCTCTTCAGGTAGCAGGCTAAAAGCACCTTGACTCCTAATTAAATCGCACCTCCACTGCGAAAGCTTCTTTCCCAGCAACCCCCTTACACACATTTTATTTATACCATTCATCTCAATAAACCTCTCCAGCAACTCCACTCTCCTAGACAGAGGTCTTTTATGTGCATCCATGTGGGTGTATTATTTAAAGAGTACATCACATGGATACTTTATCTAGTTTAATCTGATTTAATCTTAGCAGATTTACTAAAGTAAAATATATTTATAGACCAATATACACGCCTCCCCTTATTCCCATCACCATGAATCCTCAAAAGCAGAAAAATGGACCTGAACCATGACACCTGAGTTCCCAAAAGTGCCACGGTAAGCGCCGCACGAGGCCAACATTCACAGCACAGAACACCTAAGTGTGATCAGCTCGAAGCTACGGTGAGAGGCTAGCATCTCAGACAAAGCAGCGGGGCAGTAGGGCTGATTTTTAATCCTGCTTTAGTTATCCTCGCAAACACAACGGTATCAATCCAGTCCTGCGTGAGCCATCAATAACAGCAATTTACCACCCAAACAGCGCTGGCTGCACAAAGCACGAAATCAGTGCAGATAGGGGGACCGAAGGCAGGGTTGGGAGAGACAAAATGAAAACTATTAGTCACCGCAGAAGTTTGTGGTGTGCTGCTTCCACGGCACGCTGCTCTGGGCTGCGCTCGGGGACGGCTGCGTGCAAAGACTCCCGACAGCCTCAACAGATAGTTGGGAGATGTAGGGGAGGGGAGAGGAGGGAGAGAGCGGGTTTCTCCTCTGCGTAGTTAAGTAAGAGAATAGATGGGAGTAGTACCATTTTGACTCAGAGATGCCGTCATTTTAGTGCACGTCTGTCTATCTGGGCTTTCTCTTGCACGCTGCTTCTCCAGTCTCTCTCAGAGAAAAAGAGAAAGCCACCTGTAAGTTACCCTGAGGATCTAATTCAGCAGCATCTCTAACAAATGCAAGTTCGTGGAAATAAATGAAAAAGCCCACAACAGCCAGGCTCCTCAGGCACATTTAGGTAAACCAGGTGTAAGCTCTGTCCCTCTTGCTACGCTCCTGAGCAAAGAGGCCGTTCTACAGCATCAGCTACTCAGCAGCAAGCACATTAAGGCAAAATTAAGAAAGTTCAGCTAGAAACACATTGCCTGGTTTAAAGGATTAAATAACCTGCCTTGACTAGGTTTCTGTACCACAAACTCATTCTGCTCTTCATTTCCCTGCAATTTTCCTCTGGACATGCGGACTGCAAGAAAATGTACTAGGAGGAAGAAGGAGAAAAAGAAGCAAAACCCCCTCCATTAAAAAATGGTTATTTTACAAAGCAGACCTAAACTCAAATTAACATCCCAGCCCTCAAAGAGAAAGGAGGGATTGTTCCCATTAAAGAAATCCATCATTAAAAAGTGACCTACAAAGACTTACCCATAGCCAGGGAGACTGAACTGATCTTTGCCAGGGCTCACACAAGAGACTGGCTGCGTGCTGTTAAAAAGGGGGAGGAGGGGGCTGGCTTCTCTCACTGGGGTCTCTCTTCAGAGCTCAGAGAGCCGGGCTTGTTAGAGGCAGAGGCATGCCTTCCAGAAGGACTTTACAGCAACGCACAACTGAGTCGCAAGCCAAGATAAAGCCGGCTTGTTAGGAGAGGCAAGTCTTGGGGGTTGCTTTTATTTATTTATTTTTTCCCCAGTGCGTTGGAAATGCAGAGGCTGGAAATTCAGAGAGGGGGCTGGGGGCTTCCTGACGCGCATCCCACCCAGGGCTGGTGCTCGGAGGGGGCGCGGGGGGTCCCCAGCCGCTGCCCCCCGCCCTCCTCTGCTGCACTGGGCTTGCCATTTGCCACCCTGCCTCTGAACGAGACGGGGTGGGGGGGAAATAAGCACCACCACGGTCGGAGAAATAATATAAAAATCAAAATAACCCCCAAGCAGCTCCACATCAGCTCGGGGCAAAGTTCACCGGGGCGCAAGGGCAGCCCCCAGGGAGAGGGGGGAGCCCGGCGGGGGTCGCCCTGGGGATCGGGGAGGGGGGGATGATTTGGGGCAGGGCAGCACGGAGGGCAGCCGAGCCGAGCCGTGCCGGCACCGTGCAGGGGAAGGGGCAGCATCCATCCACCCCTGCCGGCATCGCGTCCCCCCCTCCCCGGGGCGGCCGGGGGTTACGGGGAGGAATTAGGGAGAAGCCACAGGCTCCGGGAAGCCTTTCGCTGCGTAAACCTCTCCGCTCGGGCTGCGGCGAGCTTTGGCAGCGTCATTTACTTTCTCCTGCAGGTGCTTTTTAACTTTGATCCCATCGCCGCCGCCCTGCGCCCTCGCCTCCCCCCTCCCTCCCTCCGAGCAGCCACCGCGATGCCGCCCCTTACCGTAAACCCCCTGTCCCCTGCTGTAGGCTGGCACCAGAGACAGGAATAAAAAACAGATCATCTCCATCTTCAAGGCAGCGCCTTCATCGCCGGCGAAGAAAAACAGCCAAAAGAGCCCAGGCAGCATCCGGCGGGGGAGCGAGGAGCGGGCGAAAACCTCCCGAAACGCCGCCCCATGCGCCCCGCTCCGGACACCGGCGGAGGAAGGGACCCCCCCGCCAGAGCCGCCTGGGGATAAAAATTAAAAAGCAACAAGAAAAAAAGGAAAAAAAAAAAAAAAGAGAGAGAGAGAAAAAAATGAATGGGAAAAGAGAAGGAGGCAGGGAGGGTAGGAAAGCGGAGAGCCGCTTCTCCCTTCGCAAGGATGCTCGAGGATGCCCAGGAAAAGAAGCAGGGCAGTGGGCAGCCCGCAGGGGCAGGAGCAGGAGCGGGGTCCGGGCCAGCCCAGCGCTGCCCCCCCCCAGGGAAGGGGTTTCCTTTGTGCAGGGGGAGCCGCCGAGCTCTGCCCGGAGTCCTGGGTTGCCCGAAGTGCTGCCAACTGGGGCCAACTTGGGAGAGTCGTCGCCCGCCCTCCTCCCGACGAGGCTCTGGCCGCAGCCCCACGAGCGAATGGGGGAAAGGAGAAGGAGGTGGAGAGAAAAAAAAGAGAGGAAAAAAAAAATGGGGGGGGGGGAGGAAGGGGGGCGAGGAGCCAGCTGCTGAAAGGCGGAGGGAGGGCTAGGTATCCTCTTCTCCAGATCTTCTGGGGAGGGGATTGTTGTAATTAATCAAATCCAGGATTTTTTTTTTAATTTATTTTTTTTTAAAGCGTCTCCCAGGAGCTCCCCCAGCTGCGCTGCATCGCCCCAGCCAGCCTGAAGGGAGAAGCGAGCGAGGAGCAGCCCCAGCAGGCGCCAAGCAGCTCAGCCCGGCTCTCCTCTCCTCCTCCCCAGCCTGCCAGCTCCTTCTCCCTTCAAAACTTTCCCCGGTGTTGCGAGCAGGGCTCTGCCGGCTGCTTCTCCCCCGCTGCTCTCCGGCTCCTCCCGCCTCGCAGGCGCTTTGCAGCCGGGGGGAGATCCGCGCCGCTCCCCCCCCGACGGCTGCCGGAGCCCCCCCGGGCAAGCAGCGGGGGCTGCAGCTGGAAGGGAGCCGCCGAGGAGGATGGAAGAGCTGCAAGAAGTTGGCTGACTCCCGGCCGGGTGCTCGCCCCGAAAGGCGACCGTCCCCAGCACGAAGTTGCCGGCGGCGTCCCCGCTCCCCTGGCAGCCCCGGGGGGCTCCGCTCCTCTGCCCCCCCCGACGGGGCGTCCGGGGGCACCGAGCCCCGGGCTCGCCTCAGCCCTGCCTGCCAGCTCTGCCCAGCACGCCGCGTTTTCCTTCCCCTTTGGCTTTCCAATTATTATTTATTTATTTATTTATTTATTTTTCCCCTCCCCTCTTCACCATTCCATTCCCCCTTCGGTTTAAAAAAAAAATAAAAAATAAATAAAAAAATAAAAATAAATAAATAAATAAAAAAATCCGAGCCAATTAAAGCAGCCGTGCTCCGGCAGAGCCCTGCCTCCTGCCCAATTCCCCGAGCCTCCCCGAGCCCCGGCCCAATTAGAGGCGACACCGCAGGGCTGGGGAGGAAAAGGGGCTCGCTCCGGGCGGAGAAATCAGCCGCCAGCCCCGGGTCCCTCCATCCTCAGGATGCTCCCGGCAAGGTCGGCTTCTCCCCGGGCGGGATGCGCGCTGAGCAAAGCCCGGTGCTGGGGAACGGGGCTCGGGGGTGGTGGGGATGGGGACGTGGGGGGGGGCTCCTCCCGGCTTGGATTTTTTTTTTGGGGGGGGGGAAGGTTTGCCGAGGAGAAGTTTGTGCCCCCCTCCAGGAGGGCTGCGGGTGCTGCCCTGTGCCTGCTGGGGTGGGGGCTCGGTGGTGTCCCCCCCCCTTTCCCCCCGGCACCCGAAGAAAGCATCTCCCGGCGGGCGGCGGTTCGCAACGCGAGCGTGTCGCTACCTGGATAAAAATGTAATTAAAGAAAAAAAAAAAAAAAAAAAGAAAAATAGCAGTAATTGAGAGATACGGCCCAGAGAGCGGCTGGCTGCGAAGTCATGCTCTAACAAACAAGCAATTAATAGATATAGCCGCTAATTACGAAGCAGTTATTCCTATTGTAAACGGTGCTCAGCGGCAGAGAAAAGCGGTACCGAAAGGCAGCAGAGGGAAGGCAGCGTTAGGGACAGGGCAGCATCACCCCCTGACAAGCATCCTCCAGGCAAGGCAGGGGAATTCCCTTTCCCTTGGACCCTGCCGGACCCTGTCTCCTCTCTTGTAAGGATGCCGCGAGTCTGAAGAGTCTGAAACTGCTTTTTTTTTTTTTTTATTCCTCCTCCCCAGCCAATCTAAGGCAACACTTGCCAAGAAACCGTGGGCTTCACGCTCCGAGGTGTCCTTCCCAAAGATGATGGCATGGGGAAAGACCTTACAAAGGTGTCTGGTGTGAGCAAGTTTATGATTATTATTTTTATATTAATTGTTATTTATTTTTAATTCAATGAGCCCTTCATTGAGAAGGATGTGATCCTTCCCATGGCGGGTGCTGGCAACACGGCTATAGGGTCTGTAGGCAGAAGGAGGGTGGCACTGGGCGGACAGGAGGAGCAGCCCCTTTGCCAGGGCATGGGGAGAAGCAGGAGCTGACACTGAGGAGGGAAAGTAAAACTGTCCCCATCTGCACAAAGCAGGCTGGCAGCAGCGCAAGGAAACAAGGCAAGGAGATGTTTGCAGATCCAGGAAGCTGAGTGGTGATAAAAAAAACAGTGAGACATGAGTCTCATTTTTTTCTACTCTTCATTTTAAGATAAGGATATTTTGGGGGCGCTTCATAGCCTTTCTAGTATTTTTTTTCGGGGATTCTCATTTGATTATGAAATAATGCCTCGGAGTTTGAATGACTCTGAATTACAGATCTGGATAACGAGTCTTTAAAAAAAATCCCAGAAATGTATGCTTCACACCCCTTTTTTTTTGTGCTAACTTTCAATGCACATGCTCATGTTTCCTTGGCACAAATGCTCATGAAAAATGAATTTCAAAGTAAACTGCCAAAGTATGTGAAACAACCCAGCTTTCTCTTAGCAAATAATAGTATTGGTGCCAAAAGTAGCTTTGAACTCATCCAATTAAGGAATAGTTTGAAGAAATAAAAATAAAAAAAAATGCAGATAAAGTGAGAGTGTGAGTGGTCCATTGAAACGAAGGGAAAATAACTGGATAATAAATAATTAGAAAAAGCTGTCACCTGTCAATGGATACTCTGAGTGAAAAAAAAAAAAAAAAAGATAGTGCCAAAGCCTCGGTACACCGTTGCATTTGCTAAATAAGGTAATTAATAATTATTTGTTGAGTCCTCATGAATCATAACAGTCAGAACAATAGAGTTTCCAAGCACAACAGTGAGCCAGCCTTCCCGACACACTTGTAAGCAACCCACTTGTCATCAAGAACCCGCGCCCTGCGGTGATTCTGCCTGTCAAAAGGGACGGCTAAGGGATGCCTTCCTTCCCCACAGGCCGTTTCTGCAGAGCAGATTTGTCCCATCCTTCCGGCTGGGAGTCAGCGTCTCCAGTCCCTTCTCAAGCCCTGACTTGTCAAATGAGCCCTGTCTCCCTGCAATATTTATACGCACTACATCACCTATATTTCACAGCTACGTTGAGGTAGACAGTCTCCGGGACGGATGTGGTGTTCAAAGAGAGCAAATCATACCCGGCACAATGTCACCAGGCAAGAGACGATTGAAGAAGTGTGTGAGGCCAAGGTCCAGTTACAAGGACATTAATTCTCTTTGTGTCAATGTTTTCATGCTACAATCTGGTGCAGGCTGTCATTTATTTCTTCTCGGAGATGATGCAACTATCTGTGGTTCCCGGTGATCTCTTGAGCATGTGGCCTGACATTTCCGTCACCTCTTTCTTGCTCATTTTCTTCGCAGCACAACAGCCACGAATGCCTCCAAGTTTGATCTCTTCCTTCCTCCCTCCCCATGCACACACATGGAAGCGAGGGCAGCCCAGCTGGGAGCTTTGCTGCAGCATTTCCCTTGCTATTGCTTACTAAAAGGGAGTGGGAATAGAAAGCAGGAAGGGAAAAGGAAAAAAAAAAAAGGAGGAGGAACCTTAAAGACAATGGGTGACCTGGAGTGCTGCAAGAGAGTTGGGAAGGGGAAAGCCTCTGTAGCACTGCAGCAGGGATGGGAAACCCAGGGAATTATAACTGCAGCACAGGGCTGCATCGAGGAGCTGGGAGCACAGGGGTGCTCCTGCGGTGCTGCTGTGCCCTGCTGAGCTGGGAAGACACTGACACAGCCCAGCACAGGCCCAGAGCAAGGGTCTGATCCAAGGTGATGAGATAAGGCACACAGGAGCCAAGCAGAGGGAATTGGGATGGGCAAGGGAGAGCCAGCGCGTGTGGTGTCTGCGTGGGGAGAGGGAGCCCTGTAGGGCTGCTATAAACACATCAGGGAAACAGCACCAAGTGCCCTGCAAAGCGAGAACTGCTGGAAGATGGGGAAGCACGGGCTAAGCTACAATGACGGGATGAAATCTGTCCATTGTCTGTCTTCTCCATGTTTAACTGGTCTTCATAGGAGAACTGTAAAAAAATAATTAAAGAATAAAAGCATAAAAATGCTAGTTTGTGATTCTGAAACGCTAGAATCAGCATCTCTTTGGGGAAAAAATCTCCCTAGCCTGGAGCAGTGCTTGCTGCCATCCTTAACACTAGGCTGGTGCTGCTTCTGCCGCGGATCCTCCCGGGTATCTCCTGCTCCCCATACAAAGCATGCCAAGGTAGGGCTATAAATCCCAAGGGCTCTGCTTTGCTGTCCTCAGTTCTCTGGTGTATTCCACCCCAGGGAATATACCTATGCTGTGTTTGCTTTCTTCCCAGATTCATTTTACAGCATTAGTAGTACCTCTGAGCCTCTTGTGTATTCTCTGTTTTTTTTTTTTTTTTTTTGATTAACTCTCCCCATCACCAAGTGTGTTGGGCACTGAAAGGAGTGACGAAGAGGGAACCCACCTCTATTCCTCACCCCGGGTACTCATCCTGCCCTGGCTTCACCACCCTTCCTCCCTGTGCTTGCATGATGCCGCCAATCCCTGGGCCGTGCTGGGAGTTCTGGAACCTGGTTGACATTGCACTGGGTTTTGCTTTTCCTGCCTTTCCCCGGTTACACTTTGAGAAATTTCTATTTCCTGGTTCAGGCTTACCTGAAACCCGTTGCAATCCCTTCCTCTGTGATCTCCATGTGTGGCCACTTTTCTTTCCTCAGCTCAAGTGCTGACACACTCGCACACCATCCCGCTTCTTGTGCACTAAAACCACAGGCTTTTAACTCAACATTTTCCACCAATCTTTATGCTTTTTAGACTATATATCTAGTTTGCCAGAGATCCTGCTGTTTTTTTTGCTCTTGTGCTTTAGGACAGATAGGGGCTGGTGTAGGGGTGCAGACAAGTGTCTCGGCACCACTGGAAGCATCTTTTGCCTGTTTCACCTTTTCTTTGATCTTTTTTTTCCTCTGCCTCCTTCTCCTCCTGCATTCATGCTTTCTTCTTCTTTCCCACCTTCCCTTTCATCTGTAAAAAGTGAGTTGGAAAAATGTCAAGCTGGTGCTGGTCAAAGGAACTTGTTCTCCTTTCTTTCGTTTGCTTTCATTGCCTCAGCCCCCATCTTCTAGCATGTGTCTCCCAGAGTGCAGAGGAAAGGGATGTTTTTTTCACCGAGAGCAGGTACAAAAGGCTGGGTATGATCCTCCCCTGTTGGTGCTGTCTGCCACTGTCAGCAAAGGGTGCATCGATCACTGATCTTTTCAGTGTCGGGCAGATGATCTGAATTGTGTGATCTCTGGCCCATGGTGGAGAGCAGGGAGCTGGGAAGGGTGCAGGAGCTGCTCTTGAAGATGCCTTCAGCCAGTGCCTTGTTGCTCGAGCAGCTCTCCCAAAGGGCTGTGCTACTTTTCCTGTGAGATGTTTCAAACACAAATCGCAGCATGGGGTGGATTGTCACGAGCTGATGTAAAACACGCACAGGACAACCTCAGATGGGGTCTTGCCATCAAGGCCTTGGTGGAGACAGACCCTGGCCACAGGTAGCACGTTACATCTCCCATACCCTGACACGAGGAGTAGGCCATCCTGCAGAGGCTCTTTTATGGGGTCTCTCAGGTTAGGCTGTGGTCTCACATGCCCACTGACTGGTGAGAAAATGCCCCAGCTGGTACCTGCTCACTTCAACTGCCCAAGGACCACCCTCGTCTGGGGAATCTTTGCAAGGGAAGCTGATCTATCATTCCCTTAGAATTGCACACAAGGAGCTCCTCAGTCCATTTTTGTTCCCAGGCAGAGATGCCTTCACTTTAAGAAGGTAAGCATCTGCATTTTGGATGAAAAAAGAAAGCTGCAGGGAAAAAAGTATTTTTCCACCAGAATCCCCCCTCACTACTTATCCCAGACCACAAAGAAGTGGTAGAGACGGTTACAGAAAGATTCAGCAGCTTTCCAGGCAGACTGCAGAAAAGAGCACGCCATTCAATGCCTGAAGCATCCCTTCTGCTTTCTGAGGAGCCATGTTCATCAGTGCTGCAGCTCTCTGCTGGCCTCTCACTCTAACACGACAACAAAAAGCATTTGAAACCCAAAGGTGGCAGGAACCCATGCGCACTGCCACCATCCAAAAGGCTCGGGCAGTCAGACTTTGCACAGAGGTATTTTCCTTGCTGGATGCTCTACATGGACCATGAGTTACCCCCTCAAGTTACTCACGTCCTTTCATCTTCAGATGTTGTTGGCCACTGCTGAACACTCTTGAGGAAGGATCCAGTGACTGTTGTCCTTGTGTGAACCTGTCTGTACCTCCACACACACATCCCTTTCCCTCCTGTCCGGTGATGCACTACAGCTACATTTTCACAAACCACCTGTTCAAGGCAAAATACCTTAATCAATTCTTTGTGAAAATTCAGAGGATGCAAAAAAAAGCTGTGTAAAGAAGCAAAAGCATTTGGAGCTGTGCCTGCTGAAAGGATGCTTTATACACATACACCCCCTCCCCAAAGGTTGCTGCTCCCTCCTTACCTTTGGTGGGTCTGAACCACAGCTCCCTGGTGACTCAATGCTTAAATACACTTATATCCTTAAGGCACAGCGTCATCCTTGTCTTTCCTCTGTAACCTGATAGACTGTGCCATTTTAGAAAACTCATGGTGAAAGACTGTTTCGATTTATCATGACTATTTATAACACAATTCTCTGGCAAACCAGAGTTAGAAGCACCATTACTGTACAGCCGTGTAACGTGAGACAGCTCATACTAGAAATTAACAGAAAAACCCTAGTGGGAGGAAATTATAGAAGCACCAACCACTTCTTTTTCCTCTGAGCTGCCCCTAATCATTTTAGCCAAGCTGGGGCTGGCAATAACCAGGGACACAGGATGGATGTGCTGAAGCAGAGAGGCAGAGTTTGCCAGCACAGGGTTTACCTGCCCCTGCCAGGAGCAAGGCAGAGGCATGGGCAGAGCTGGAAGGGAGTACTTTCTTCTCTCATTCCTCAGTGTGGCTCCAGACAGACAGTATTGCTGCTGAACTGTGTATTTCTATGTATAATTACTTGCTTATTAGCTGGAGAGCTCATCATGCCAAGAAAGTTAGTGGATACAAAGCAAAAACATTTCTCCTCTCCCTGTCTTTCAGACCAGAGAAGTAACAATGGATCTTGCAACCTGCAGGGAACCTCCCCCTCCTCCACCCTTTATCACCTGGAGGAGGTTGAAGTCTGATTGATTTCTCAGTTACATTTAGTTCTAGAAGAAAGAGAAAAAGAGCTAATCATGCTAGTCTGATGCTAGAGCCAGGGATGCTGATGGCCGTGGCCATTACCACTTTCAGTGATGTGCTGGGCATGTTTCCCTGGCTGGGAACCTTGCACCGAGCCGTGAGGATGAGGGGAGCCACCACACACCATTCCTCAGCCCTTCACAAAGGACTGAGACAGTGGGAGGAATATCACAGTGTCAGCCTGAGGTAAAGCCGAATACAGGGCCACAGGAGTCGAGAGAGGGTTTGGTTTATTTATTGTACAGGAAGCGCTTTTTGAAAAGCTTGGAAATGCAATGCAGCTGCTGCAACCTCCCACTGGGGGCTCACCAGACGCTGAGGTATTTTCCTGCACTTCCCTCATGTCTCCAGCCTTGCACATTCACCCTGTGGGTTTCCAAAGAAGTTTCTCCATGCAGCTCCCCAGATGACTGCACTCCAGTGAAGGATGAAGCCATTGCCATGGCCAGACAAGCTGCAGCATCCAAACTTCCCTAGGAAAACTAGATGAGGTATTTGAGTAACAGCAGCAGACTTCCCTATCAGCAAAGTCAAGCAGGGAAATTAGTAGAAAATAGCGTAATTTTTATATGGATCAAATCATTCACAGGTTACAGAGACAGAAGGAGACACTGCTGGTCCGACCTCCTGTTCTAATCAGAGCACATTGTGAGGAGTAACCTCCAGTCCTGATTTCTAAGAAGCCAATAATACACCATTCATTTGTATTTCATACAGAGTAATGCCATATTTCATCAGGATGCACAAACCTGTATTCTGAAGGAACAATACACATTTGGGATTGGATTTACAGCTGTTTGGTAGCTCTCGCACTTGCAGGCAAACTGCAGTACCTGAATGGCTGGGAGGTTTCCTGGCAGGCGGCGGGGGGGTGTCAGGACAGAGGAGCTGCCTGTCCACACAGCTTCAGCAGGGTCTGGGGGAACCAGCAAGATCCAGGAGAGAGGGAGAAGCTGGGGGAAAGCTGGGGCAGGATTGACTCAGAAATTAATGAGGGCAGGCAGAAAATGGAGGGTGAAAGAAATGGCCCAAGGCAGGATAAAAGAGGGATGCTGGGGCAGCTTGAAGCATGGAGGGAGAAATGAGGGCTGTGGGAAGGATGCTGGGGGAAACAAAAAAAATGAAACTTGGGGACAGACATGATGTAGGCTGGCATTGATGGGGCATCACTCGAGCAAGGAATGATGGCTCCAGGGGCTGAAATGGGGTCCTGGGCCAGGGGCAGGGTTATGGAGTCCTGGGGTTTTGCAGCGACCATCAGATTTGGTGGCGCCCTCAGGACCATGGCAGTTCTGCCCCCTTTTCTGCCCTCATTTCTCTCCATCCCACTCCATCAGACTTCCCCAACATGTCCTGTCCTTGCAGGGAACAGGAGGGGCTGGAGGGGCCAATGGGAAGGTGTGGGAGGAAAAGTCAGCCCAGGTCCCTTGGGCACAGCTGGCCTGGGGGACACCGTGCAGTTTGACCGCCTCGGACAACTGGGAAGTAAGCTTACCCTGCTCCAAACACCTTGCCTGAGCTCTCATATTAAATCCACTTCCTCAGTCACCACGTCTGGAAAAAGGACCTCTGAGCCCCCACAAATAGCAGACATTTTGATGAAAGATGCTTGAGAAAGAATATTTTAGTGAAAACAAGAGATGCCTGTCGCTTTGGAAAATGAGCATTGGCCGATCAAGAAATTACCAATAGAAATTTCTCATATTAGCACTTTTTTTTTAACCTCCTTGCTTGTCTTGGTGGAGAATAACATTTCATTTTCAAACCACAGTTCTACATTTATCATCCCTGATTTGGTAAATTGCCTCTTGCGGAAGCGGTGTCTTACCTACCTTTATTTAAGACTTTGCAGGATAATGTGTTTATGTTGGACTCACAGAGGGTCACAAAAAAAGTGACAGGTGCTGCAAACATATTGAAATGGAGGTAATGTAAATGATTTTTAGATTTAAAATATTCCTCCTCAAGTAACTTCACACATTCTGAAAATATTGTATTGTCAGTGAGACTTAAATCTATAATCTTGAAAGCAAGAGGAGTTTTATTGTCTTTCTCCTATATTTTCTTCTTAACAGGGATCAAAATCAACCTTTCAATAAGCCTCTCTTTGTAGTCAAAATAGAAGGAGGTGAAGATACCTCTATAATCAGAGTTGGCTCAAGGCTTATCAGCAGGGTAGGCAAAATTTAATTTTGTAGCCCAAGGATTTTCTCTTCATCCCTGGGCAGGCAAAATTCAGCTGTGTGGTAGCGGCAGGGTGGGTGCCTCCCAGGACATGTTTCTCTTTTTCTACCCCCATCTTGATAACACACAACTCTGGGGGTGAAGGCTGGGCGGGCAGCCTGCTCCTGCTGCTGCAGCGGCCGTCCCCATCCCTTCTTGCATGGACAAGGGGCTGCTGGCTGCCCCTGCCAGGCCACCACCTTTGGCAGCCAGCAGCTTTGCCTGTTGCCCAAAACCAGCCCTGCCTGTAATGAGGTACAGAAGCTCGTGCCTGCAAAGCCGAGCCTGAAATCATTATCTTGGAGCTGCAAACGCAGCCTCACACTTAAATTAAAGGATGCAGATAATTGGGTTATCTTGCATAAAACAAATTCTGCCTTGTAAACCATAACCAGGGCACACAATTCATACTCATGGTGCCAGCCAGGAATGAGGGGTGTTGGGACCGAGGCTGGCTTACTCACCCCAAACCGAGAGAGAACCGCTCCTGCGCCCTCAGCTTCCACACCTGGACTGCAGGGGATCACGGCATTCATGTGCACGTCCCCTGCTCGTGCTCCGTGGCAATACAATCAAGCTGATGCTTTCCAGTGGAATCAATAAGAAAGGCAGAGGGCATCAACAAAATCATTAATAAATTTCTCTCAATTATAATCCAGTTTCTTCAAATACAGCTGTTGCTGGAGCCTCCAGCCAGAATTAATGATATGGAAAATCTGAAGGACAATAAACAATATATTTGGGAGCTAGAGGGATCAGAACAAACAGTACACAAAAAGGGAAATGTCAAAGGGGTTAAATCTTTAATAAACTACTGCTCCAAAAGCATTTGATACGCTCTCCTTCAGGTGTTTCACAACTACACTCCCTTGTTTTCAGAGTTAGGCTGGCCTTTTTCAAGCTAAACATGTTTCACAAGACAAAACTGTAAAGGAGCCATAATGGGTCTTTAACAGAGACAGATTGTAACCTTATTTTTACATGTTCAGCATGGAGCATACCAATATTTGATTTTTTTTTTGATTTTTTTTTTAAGTGAATCAAGCAGGTACATTTTGCAATTGTTAGTACTAAGGGTAATAATATACACACACATATGCATCCACCCACATAAGCACGGAGAGGTTAATGCTGATCTAAAAATATTTTGCATGGCACAAAGAACACAGAAACATTGTCAACAGAGCTGCTGGAAGACACGGCGACATTTAATGGGAAGTTTGTAGTCTTGGGCACGTGAGCGCAGGATTTAATCTGTGTTCATCTGTCCAGCCTGGGCAAACACTGCATTTACCTCTTTTAAAGTAGTTTATCAAATGCTTTGGGATGAAAAAGGCTACAACCCCTGTATGGCTTAAATAAAGGAGCCAACAACAGAGATGAAAAAGGCACATTTATGAAGCCAGGAAGGAAACAATAAGTTTTCTTAGGCCTGATTTCATGTCACAGGTGCATTTCTGTTACTTTTGAACTTGCCAAGAGCGACTCAAAATGCAGAATTCTAATCCCCCCAAGGCTCAGAGACAATCAATCACTGATGAAGGGGAAATGCTGAATTCCCAGTATCTTGCCTTCTCCAAGAAAGCCTGTCAGCTGTGTAATGCAAACTAATCTGTTCCAAGAATCAGCTTTTTTGTTTCTTGCCCTGGTTCACGTACATACACACATCCAGAGGGAAAGAGAGAGAAAGACAGAGAAAAAGAGAGAGAGGCCACATCCACACATATCAATGACTGCTCGAAGAAAACAGCTAATACACGGAGCTGGAGCTGGAGCAAGGTGGGACTGCTCCGCAATTCTCCCAGTGAACTGCAGCTGAGATCAGCTCAGAAACCAGCAGAAATAAAACACTGCACAGAAGATGAAAACCAGGGCATGTTTTTCTACTGGCTGAGGGAGGGGGGGAATAGCTATAGATTGTAGCTGGGAGAAGCAGATGGCAGTGTATTAAGAGGACAGGGCACTGCTGCTGTTGCAGCCGCTGCCGCAACTGCCACAGCTCAGCTCTTTCCCATCTGACAGAAGGGCCCCTGGGCAGCCAGGGATGAGTCAGGCTCACGTGTGTTGCACAGGCGTCTCTGGAGGACCCCACTCTTCTCTTCTCATTTGTGTCATGCTGCTTCAGGGTTCGAAGTGAGTCGTGCAGCCCCAATATCCTACGAGCACCGTCCTTCCCAGGCAGCTGAGGCACGGCCAGCTCCCGATGAGCGCCCAGTAGATCACACAGGATGGGGCCCTGCAGTCTCTAACCAAAGGTGCCACTGGCATCCTCCACATGCAGCACCAAAAAGACTCCACTTACAAACACAAGGATGGGCAGATGTGTCACAAACCTTCAGGATTTAGCAAACTCACTTAAAACTTCAGGTTACCCTTTAGCACTGCTGAATGGTCTTTGTTGGCTCTGGAGGCATCTCAGCCCCTGACCAGCACTGGCCCCAAAACCCCATAGAGAGAGGAAGCAGGAAGACAGCATTTTAAAACCGAGATCAGTGGAAACATACCCAGTGCATCCCACCAACCACCAGCTGCTCACAAAAGAGAAACTAAGACAGCGACGGCACCCTGGGTTGCTCTCTTTTACACAAGATGTAGCTGTTGGTTTGAAGCTGATGAGCAGTTTCCTATCCTCAAAAGACTATTTTAAGATCCACACAGAGCAGTTGGTGGACAAGCTGTGTTGATGAGGAAGAGAAGCAGCAAATCCGTTCCACCTTCATCACTAATGCTTCCTCCTCCCGGAAAAAAAGACCTGAGGCTCCCTGCAGCAGGCTGCTGCCCTGGCAGCTGGGAGGGGAAGGGGCACCCCTCTGGTGAACTGGTCTGAGGGCTGTGCTAGAGGAGGGGAGACGGTCTGGATGAGGGTTTATCACTCTGTGCTTTGATACTTTCTGTGGAAAAAAAAAAAAACTAAAACAAAACAAAACAAAAACAACAACAACAAAAAAAACACAACCAGGGTTACTTAGCTGCTGTCATGCAAACATTTTATGCAAATCTTATCTTCAGCTTCTGCATACTGGTACATAATTTGCATCTGATTATCAACTTTGGGTCTATTGTTTTTTTCTAAACAGAATTCCTGCTGCGGAAAGGGTTTGGATTGACAACCCTGGTGAATAAAGTCATTTTTTTAACTAGGGGGGCAGGAGGAGAACAGCTTCCCACACAGAGTGCCCTGCCATTATTTCTTATCCAGGGCCAACAGAGAAGATGCCAGCCCTTGCCCTCTTCTGAGCCTGCCAGCTGACGTAAAAGGAGGTTGTGAATATGAAACCCATGTGAACTTTATACAAAGACAACCCAAAATCCTTTAAAAAGGAACAGGTAGTCTGTTAGGTTGGATTCACATTCATGCTTCATGCACAAAGTGTTCCAGTACCTATGTGGCTCTCAAGTGACACTCAAGTATCATGAGAAAATTCACACCATGGGATCTTCCCAAGCACAATGAAAACCTTTACCCTCTTGACCTAGAGGAGAGGAGTCTTTTGCTCCCCCTGGCATGTACACAAACACTGCCAGTCAGATATAGCCCTGTCCCCAGCAGCAGCAACATGTTGGGTCCATTTCCTGACTGTCGTAGGGTGTCTTGCTTTGT